ACTTTATTTATACATATATCTTTACCAAATTCAAAGACAATTCCTCTTTTATAAACAAAAATCATTTCCATCACTTATCCTTACTTTTATATTACTTTTACTATCAAAAAAAACATACGCAAGTAACTTAAATAAGATTGCACGTGTCTTAATAAGAGTCTTAAAATAAAAAATATATTTCTATTGTCCTGTTTTATTGTTCTAGTGTCCTTAAAAAGGCAGATGTTTTTATAAGCGTGCACATTAACCGACAAACATCTCTTAAAAATCAACTTTTACATTGTTAAGCGGATGTTAAAATAGTAAAAAATAAAAAAAAGTTTTTTTAATCAAAGGTTTAAAATTTTAAATAAAATTTTATAGTTTCAAAGGTATTTGAAGTATTCATATCAAAACACGATGTGAAATAATCCAAGCATCGTTATGGTAATATATCATCTGTAAATATATTATCTAATAATTATGCGATTTTTATGCTTTAATTTACGATTTGTTATGCTTTATTTCTAATTACTTAATTCTTCTAATTACATCAAGTAAATGAATCGCACAAAATGTTGCTTCGACACAACGAATCGCTAATCACTGGAGTTAATTAATTGCATGAGTAATAATGCTATTTGTTCATAATATATTCACGTTCTTCTTTCTTTTTTGAAAGATTTTTTTTTCTGCTGTAATGTTTATCCGTCTGTACTGGAAAAAATATAATTCGGAGAGATAATAACGAAACGTATACAGAGCGATTCATACCGTTGTGTTTGCTGCTGAGACTCGTATACAAATAACAGCGAAATGACTATTTACACATAATATATGCTACGATAAACATGTGCAGAGTGTCATGTTTGCTATTATGTCGTCGTTATAAGATTTATGAAACCAATGTATGTGCTTTTTTAAGTTTTTACTTTTATAAAGCAAATTTATTCCTTTTTCAAGTTTTCTGTTTCTCTCTTCCATTTTAAATTAATTTCAATGAAAGCTTATTATATCACATATTTTTGCTTCCATTTCTGGTATTATCAACATCAACAATCAAGATAATGCTTTTTAATATATAATGTTGAGGTCATTACAGTTTTTAAGCAAAAAATTAAAAGAAACTTTAAAAATCTTTTCAAATTTAAATTAATAAACATATTTTAATATTTTTAAAATTTATAAGAGATGAGATTTCTTTTTATATACAAAATATTGATATTCAAAACATATAAATACTAAGTACTGACAAGAGATTTCACATGATTATTCTTTATAAACTTGATAAAAATTGAAAGAATAAAATCAGATCACAGTTAGTTTAGTTATTGTATGTGTATTATGTTGAGAATAAAACTAAGAGATGAAGTTTAAACGAAATTTTGTTACGTCTTTCATTCAAATTTTAATCACACAAAACTTTCTGTAAGAGAGTTCTATAATAAAAACTTTGTCACGCGAAAATAAATAAATGTCAATAGCAATTAATTAGAAAGGCTTATAGAAATTTGATCATCTTGGTTATATAGAACCGATTATTAAGCAGCTAATGGGGGAGGCAAGAAGAATGAAATAAGTTGCTTACATTGTTCGTCACTAAATTATCCCTCCACCTTTAAGAAGCTATTATGCAGAAGCTGTTATGCACGAAGGAAAACTGGAGGGTGCAAGACGTGAACAAAGCGCTCGAATGAATCATACAAGAATGATAAATTAACAAACGCGCCTATATCGTCATTGGAATCATAAAATCGATGCAAAAGTTTTTTCACAAAGAACATATTCAATTTCTTCATTGTACAACCTCTATTTTTTATCATCATCTCTTAAGGTCATGTTCCACTTGCTTCCCCAAGATTTTCCTGCATGTCGCTTAACCGCTCTCTTTTTCCACCAATGTTTTCTAGAGATCATTTCGTTTAATATTAAAACGCCACAAGTATGATCTCTCGCAATTTTTCGTTATATTTAATTTATTATTATAGCGATTTTTTTTAATGTAGTGGCATCTGTGTTTATCTTGCTTATGCAATCATGCTTGGAAAATTGATTGAAACTTCTTTAAGGTTTCTCGATTGTTGAAAATTATCGGTATAAACTTGCAAACTTGTACGAGTATACTAACAAATTATTATTACTTGGGGAATGATACGATCGTTTTAAAGGAAGCGTGAATAATAACTCTCTATCGGAAATTGTAATTAGTTTATAGATTCATTCCCGAGAGTATCAATTTTTTATTAATTATCTGAAAAGATTCTATTACTTTTTTTTTCAAAGGAGAAACTGATTAGATAAATGTTGTTAAAACAATTTACAGAAGATATTTTTTATCAAATTACAGTTGGAAATGTTAGCTCTAATAAAGTTAGATAATTGAATAAATATAATCGAGAAACCTGATGAAGAAATAACATTCCAAATTTCGGAAAAGAAGGAAGAGATTATGATCTAGACTGTAAATTTTGCAGGACCCACCTTGGAACCACCATTGCCCAGGCGAAAGAAATGTCCGGAGCTTGCTTACAAGACGCACGAATTTATCACGGCAGCAGATGGCGGTGGTATCGATGCCATCGACTCGAACGTCGTAGCTGATAAAGTACGGGTAAGGAATGTTGATAATATTAATAACTCTTTGTAATTCTTTACAACTTATAACAGCATCTGTATATACAATCTAACGAGTACAAAATAAAATAAATATGTGAATTATATGTCTAAGATTTCACGTGCAATAAGAAAATTTCTAGGAGAAAGGTTTCTAGAAGAAGAGATCAATTGAGTTTGAAATATCGGTCCTCAAATCATAGGAAGTTACAGCAACGTCGGCACTGCCACCAAGTCAGCTTAGCAAGGCGATATCTCGTATCAGTACCGAGTACCGGCTGCAGTTTGCCTGGCCTAGAAGACCGCAGTTGACAAATGGCGAAACTCAGGTGCCGGTTCCAGCTGCGGGGGTTCCCGGAGGTACCACAGGCCCACCGAGGAAGTCGCTCAGCATGGGTGCGCTTAAACAGGGCATGGTGCCTTCTGGACCCGCGCCGGTACACAAGAAACGACCCGGCGACTTTGATCACAAGCGCGATGGTACTTATCGAATGCCATGACAAATTGTTTTCACGATTAATTCGAATCCTACGTTGCGAGTCTCGAATTTGTTAAACATCATCATTTTCATAACTTTTAAAAATTATTGTCTCTTTCTTTTTGTCTTTCTTTCTATTCAACATTTTTGTTAAAGAGAATCCAGCATTAAATCATAGAAAATGGTGGAGTAATAGTAGGTGTGGAATAGAATAAAGTTTTCTGATTACAAATTACAATATGCTGTTATTCGCGCGAGAGAGAGAGAGAGAGAGAGAGAGAGAGAGAGAGAGAGAGAGAGAGAGCTATGATAATCAGTATTATTTCTTCAATCAGAAATTTGCACTTTTTATCATTAAATCATTGAATTTTGTTGTAATAATGTAATAAATCAAATATAACAAATATATTTATGAAAAGAAATTAATTATTAAATATTCTCATTATATTGCACTTATATATTACACACACACACACACACACACACACACACACAAAAGCGTATTCAGCGTATTTCTGTATATTCTCCAGGGGTCCAAGCATCAGAACTGGAGCCATTGGTGGGTGGCACTGGAACGGACATGATCGACGGTGTGGTACCAGAGGGCGATGAACGCGAAGAGGATTTGTCGGATTTGAAAGTAGCTTTCAGGTCAGATTGTTAGTCGGATATGTTACGGCTTTTCATGTAAAAAGATTTAATATCCATGAAAGAGGAAACATTTAAAAAAAAACAGAAAATAAAAAAAGGCATCTACGACGATCTTGATCGGTGTGAAGACGCGACGACAACGCGACGCGACGATTACGTGATCATTACACGTAAAATTGATTGTTTGCAGGGGTAAAAAGTCAGGTAGAACGGTGCGGATATCGGACAATAAAATGCCGGAAAAATCAAAGGCAAGACCATTTCCCACGGCGGAAGTGATCGAACTTCGGCGACTCGCTGACGAGTACAAGGTAATCCGTGGGAGATGTTTCGTCGCTTTAAAATCGGGGACCGGGGTTCTTATTCGAATTCTTTCAAGCCAGTTTTCCCCATGTCGTATTCGTCCATCTTTATGTGAATCCTTCATTCGATCTCTTTGTTTTGCATTTAATTGCTCGATCTGATTGTTAGGGTCGTCGAGTTTATCTGTCAATGTTTGTCAGTGTTTATCAACGAATGATAGTTGTCGAGATTGCATGTTTTAACTCCTTTCTTCTGTGTCATCTATAACAACGAAAGTCCAGTTGAAAGTCAAGTCTGCCAAATTAAGTGTCTGTTTTAAATAACAACACATATTTAATACAAGTGAAATAATTTTCGACCATATCTCGTCTCATAAGATATTTTATAGAAACCGCTCAGTTAATTATTTATTTAGTCGGTTTTATTTAATGTGATTTTTTAATGAAAATCCTCCCTTGAAATTAATCCTAAATCGATTTCCGCAATTTCGAGAGTGTAGTCCCAAAATTTCATCGTCTGAGCAAGGTATTTCAGTGTCTTCCTAGCATGTTTTGTACGTTTTCTTAATGTATTGATTGTCATCGATTTATTAATTTTGATTAAGCTGACTATGTAAAATTCTATGAAAACTGAATTTTTAATTACGCAAATTCTAATTTAAAGATGAATTTTTTTTATAAAGATATTGGATACAAGTTTAACTTGCTCATATCGAAAACGAAATAATTCTATCAAATTTATATTAAATAAAATTGCAAGACTGTTCTCTTTGAAATGAAATTAAAATTTTTATGTATAGTTAAAAAAAGTTACTAAACTCGTGATTTTACTTCTATTTTGTTAAAATTTTCAATTTTTTTTTTTTAAGAATTTGATAAAGCTTTTGTTACAAAACTTATGAAATGTAGTGTACATTATGAATTGTGATGTGTATGTGTGTGTAAAACTAATGTCTATTACAAAGAATGAACATTAAGATCGAAAAGAAATAAATAACTATCATTTTGAATATCTCATTTTAATTACATGTTCATGAAAATATTTTACTAAAGATTAAAGAAAACAATATTTTAAGATTATAATTCATTTAAAGATAGAATGAAAGACTTAATTAAAGTTGATGTTGATTCGATGACTCGATGTGACGTTTTTAGTGTTACCAGTTTTTAGTGTTACCCTTTTCTTAAAATGTATCGCCGCGTCTCAGTTTGATTAGATGTTCATGGAAATAACAATACAGACACACAGACGAATGGATGCTGATACATTTTGCTTTGCGTTAGCATCGTGACTGGGGTTGCGGTCTGGCAGCCGAGGACGAAGCTTCGCTGTGGAAACGAGTCTCCAGTAACCACGCACTCAACGCCCTATCCCTTGCCAGGCCAGTACACTATACTCCATCATTTTCCAACGAGAAACTCGTTTTTATTACTGTTGTTGTTGTCACTGTTGTTGTCACTATCGTTATTACGTAACAAACGTTTGTTGGTTTGTTGGAGTTGTTTAATAATCACGATTCATTCTTTGCAATTCTTTCACATCAATTTATCAACGAAATGTTTTGTGGAAATGCATAGTTAGTTATCGCGTAATAATTTGCCAGAAAATATTGCTGTCATAGAATATCTAGTATTAATTATTCGTTTTAAGTGTACGTTCGTTCAGCAGAATTTCTGCTTTCGAATTTTAACCACTGGGAAATTTTGTCGATAAACAATAAGTTAAATAGACCGCAATGTAAATAATAAAAGTAAATAAAAAGTACTTAAAATACGGTTGAGGCTGAATCTTGATCATATTTTTATGTAAATATTGTATATATCTTTCAGTTAAATAAACTGAGCGTCGATTACTGTCAGACTTGAAAAGCAATCATAAACTGAAGCTGAAATAATATTTCAAATTAAATTAACTGTCAATTTAATAATGATAAGCATTTTAAAATACTACGAAGATTTAAAATACTCCGTCGATCAAGTTTATTATGGATTCGTATTTTTTTTACTTTTGCATGGTTTTTTTTTTCAAAAATATGAAACAGATCATAAACAAGAAATTCAAATTGAAATAATGCGAAATATTTTTAGAAATATGTGTGTGAATTTAATTACACTATATCATGAACGCACTTTGAACATACGTGTGTATTGTTTCAAGAAACTTGCACTTTTGATTCTATCAGCCATTTTGAAGGTCATCATTAAATAGATGAATCTCTAATAGGATTGCATATAAGTCACTCGAAATTCTTATATTCGATAGATATAAATGCACCAAACATCTCGCTTTGAATTACATGCGTCGTCCACACACGTTGTATCCACTGTGCGATCGTAAACGTCGTTTATTCACGGATTTGCGTTATTCACGCAAAATAAATAAGAGCACTCGTGAGAATTCGAGCGTGCTCGCACCTTCACACGGATTCCGTCGTAGTTAGCTAGTTCACTTTATCGATTCGAACGAATCGATAACTTGATATGATCGTTATAGAATCTCTTTTTGATCAATTGTTCAGGTCGGTCACCAAAGAGGAGAAAGAAAAGGAGAACACGAGGAAGGTCGCACCGATCGCTATTATGCCACCGGCGGGTCGACCGTCCTCGGTACAAGCTAGACCAATCCATGGCATAATACAAGACGACACTAAGGCAGTACGCAAATCCTATCGAATAGTTTATTCTGTCATAGAATCGGTTTCTATTGAACATTGTCGAAGTATCTTGAAGTCGAGAATCGAACGATGCAATTGATTTTTTCATTATTTTAAAACGAGATTTAAGAATTTTTTTTTTCTCTTTAATTTATGCACGAACTCTTAAAACTATTATTCATGACTTATTTTGCAACTGCTATCTTTTGTAAATTAACGTCTTTTTTTAAAGAAAAATGTCAGTTATCATACAGATAAATCAATATTGTTATATCGTTTATTAATTGTTTGACATTGAATTGAAGGATATATATGTAGGATAATAATTGGGAAAGTTATTGAAACTATAGCTCAGTTATTTTATATTTTATATTATGAACAGAATGAAATAAATTTAACTTCAGGAAAATTTCATTATTTTCAGTAGCATATAAATAAAGAAATATATATAATATTTGTAAAAACAAATATTATTAAAAAGGCTAATAATTGGATTCTTAAAAATTTGGATATGTGAATTCTCATTATCTTGTTATTTAGAAGGTAGTTCTTTTAAAAAACTTTTAAAGTACGTGAGACAATATAATATACCTAATTATATTTTTAATACAATTTTGTTGTAGGATACTGATCGAGCCATCGCTCGTGCAAGAAAGGATTTCTTGATCCGCCACCATCTTGATCGTACAACTGGTGTGGGTACGTAATAAATCATACATAAATAAAATTAATTAATAACAATAAGATAATAATTGTATCTTTATTGTCTTATCGAAGATAATCTATATTTATATCTATCCATAATTTATTTGATTATTATCAACAAATGAATAAATTATATATGCAATATATTTTATAAACTAATAAAAAATATATTTTATATGTTCTTCCTCGTGTTTTTATAAATTGTTCTGAAAAAATGTCATTCAAGGTGACGGTGCACTGCTTCCCTCTCCAACGAGAGAGAAACTGGAGCCCGTGATACCACGGCGACGTGATGATGTTAAGGAGCATCGGGACGAGATTCAACCACGAACCAAGTCCAGTCCGAAAAATAGTCCGAGAACCGGACGCTCGCAGAGCCTCGGACCGACCGTCACCGATCGCAGATCGCCTAAACGTCAGCCTCCTCGCGCACCGTCTGTTACCAAGGATGCTAAGGTATATTACTGATTCATAAAGAACACTTAGAATTAAAAAATATTATTTTTAACACATCATAATTATTATTGTATACGTATAAGACATATTGCATTCCAATTAATTGTGTTTACGCATTAAAGAAATTTTGAAAGAGGAAGAAATATGTTTAGAAGAAATATCTTACACACACACACACACACACACACACACACACACACACACACACACACACACACACACACACACACACACACACACACACACACACACACACACATTTATTCATATTGATATCTATAAAATCATATGGAGGAAATTTCGATATTGCATCAGTCAGAACGACATATCAAGGAATTTATTTCTTTCTTTTGTCAAGGAGAAAGAAAAAGAGATGAAAGACAAGGATAAGGAACACAAGGAAAAGAACGGCGAGCCCGAAAGACATCCACGACCGAGTAAGTAACGTAAATTGAAAATTACGTTTTACGTTAGTTATCGGAAGTATTTTCGGTTATCCTAAGGGGATCGTTTCCTGAATCGATTAGAGCTCGTAATCTGTCAATCGAATCCCCTTTGCATTTTCGTGCATAAACTGGATTTGGATAGAGTATTTACATATATATATCTATATTATTATGACCTCTTGGACTGCTGTCTGCTCTTGTCGGCCTCGAAAACGTCAAACGTTCGTCGTACATAATTATTATACTTGTACAATTATACTCGTACGCCAGAGATGCTCACCGCTCGTGAGATTTATTTATATAGCTGTTACTTTGTTCATTCTTTGTTATTCTATTTGCTAAAATTTTTTTATTGTAATAAAAAAATCTTTTGTTTTAAAAGTGTCTAGAAATAATAACGTCATACTGTGCTGAGAGATATATTAAATTTTTATATTTTCTCTCTGTAAGAGTTATATAAAGTGAATTATTTTATATGTAGAATTAAAACGCTGAATTATATATGCATCAGGAAGTAAGTAATAAGAGTAAAAGTTTAAATGGTTTAAAATGATTTAAGTTTCATTTGCCGAGGCATTTGATTATATCTATTTTTATTTTAAGAATATTTTGAAAATGTATTCATAAATGCATAAAAGCGTTTGAAGTGCGGTGAGCGTCAATTATTATAATTACGTCGTCATTAATGTTTAGGCAGATGCATGATAGTTCTGTCTATTTGTTTCTATTTCTTTGCCTCTGCCTTTAAAATCCTCATCTAGTAATCGGTAGTTATATCGATAGATACTGTATGAAAATTATTTGTGCGATGTATTATTCGCCTTCGTAGTCCTTTGCGATTAGGCGAGAAAATCCTGTTTTCAACCTGTGACGAATCATGTTAATATAGTTTCCCCCATCGATTCCATATCGTCCATCAAATCCATTATATCTCATGCTATTGTTCACAAAATTTATTATTATCATTTTTTAATAATACAAATATGTGTAACATATTTTTTATTACTTACAATAAAAATATTAATTTTATATTATTTATACTACTAAATTTTTTTAAATATATAATTGTTTTTATTCGTACGAAAAATAAAATAGGTAATCATATTTACTTAGGCATTGTTTTTGGTGTATAATGTTAATTATTTTTATTTTATACTTTATTATATTTTTGTCTTATAGTACGCTAAATTCTTATTACAACGTTAAGTGTAGCAAATAATAAGATTTAAAACAAACTTGGAATAAATTTTGAGATTAAGAAAATATAATAAAAATCGATATAATTCTAATGAGAAAAATTTAAAACGAGACTTAAATTGTATATATTCCAAACATTATGTATGCTACAAATTTTTTAAATACAGCTGTCATCTGGTGATTCATTATTCAATGTAATCTACAACTTAACTACCTAAGACATCATCATATCGTTAATCAATTATACATCCATTATCATCCTTTCATAATCCATTGGTGTAAATTAACGACAAAATCATTAATATACACAATATTGACAAATGTATGCTTAAGAGATTACTGCAGCTTTCGAGGCATTTCAATGATGCAATCACGAAGCCAATGGGTCATCTTCCATCATCATTTGATATAACGATCACTATTACGAATTATCGTATAAATCATATTCACTATCTTTTCATAATAGTATTCTCTTCCACCCTTCTCTTTCTCCTTCTCATCTCTCTCTTCTCAATTTTTTTTCCTTCTTCACTCCCTTCCTTCTTTTTCTTTTTCTTTCTTTCTACAGTTTTCATGCATCAATGGCAATCTCGATCATCATATTCATTGTCTCGTCATTATCGTCATCATCGTCTTGAGTGGTGGTGGTAGTGGCGATAATGGTGACGATGATGATTTTGATAATCTTTACCATCGTCGCCATCTCTGTAATTGTTATCAGTGTCATCATCATTATTATTATCACCATTGTCACCGTTATAATTATAATCATTATCGTTGTCATGATCATCTTCTACTTTATCGAAATTGATACTCATTCCGAATTACCTATCCTCTTCGCGAATCCTAGCTTTTTTCTCACAAGTTCTCGCACGAGAATATACGATCGCAAGGAGACGTGTCGTGTATTAGATTGATCAGGAGTGGCAGCGGGTGTTTCAGCCGCGGCAGGCCCAGGCCAACGTGTCCGTTGGAGCATACGGGAACCCGCGACTACGGTTCCCCCGGCGACTGGCTTGTCGACGCCGCCTATACCGCCATTACCGCCGCCACCCTCGGGCCCAGGGCCTGCTCCGCTCCACAAGAGGCCCCCGCAAGTCCCACATCGCAAATGTACGTTTACTGTACCTGGCCACGTACACCTGCTGTGCCCGCTGTCTCTCACGTCACGTCGGTCTGGCATATTTTCAGAATTACTGCATATCAAAAAGCCCTCTCCCCTACTCTTTCTTCCCTTTTATAATTCATCCTAACTCTCACCTTCTGACTCTCGATCTCGATGATCTCTGATGCATTTTAGACTTGCTGTAAATTTTTTGCAGACTTCTCTCCGAATGGTCCCCGAAAAATTTTTGCAGAAGATTAGAAATTCGCAAAGCGAATTCATCCCACAATTATTTTCTTAACTATATTTTCTTTCCCTTTTCTTTTTCGCCGTTGTGCGCGAATCATTTTTGATGCATGATACAATTATTGATCAATCTAGCTAAAAGATCTTGTATATGTACTGAGTGCATATGATGCACTTCTTCTCTATCGCCAGACATGGATTTCTATGAATTTATTTTGTATTTTCACATGGATTTCTCCTTAAAATTTAAATCTTGTTTCAAATATGTCTATATTCAAATATTTATCAATTGACTCAAGTAATCAACTCAAATACAAAGTACATACGGACAACGATGTAAACTCACGAGAAGATATAAAATTCCGTTTTCCGCGAAGCCTAGGTAATAATTAGCCTAGACAATTACTATAAAGTGAAAAGATAAATTATAAAATAAGATTATAAAAAGATTTTATTATTGACAAAGTTTTAAATTGACTTTTGTTCTGCAAATTACTTTATCAAGAGAGCTTAGATTAAATTAATTTAAAAAATGAATTTTTTTTAATCATAATTTATTCGTTATTTTGATACAATAAATATTACAGTTGACATCAACTGAATTGGAGTAATTAATTAACAAATGTTCGAGCGATATGAAATATCATATGACAAGAACCAACGTCATCTTACAATTAGTCGCTATAGAAGAAGTGACATTTTCTGGTTGATACAATCCATCTCCTCAACTGCAATTAGGCTCCTGTATATTCGAGCGAGGGCGAACGATTAATCTATTTTGATGACTTTGAGATATATAGGATAGTAAAAATGTTCCGGCAAACTCAGTTTTAGCTTTTGTCAATTTCAAAAAATAACATCAATTTTACTTATCTTCTGAATAATAATAAAGTATAATTTGAATAATAATATTTAAAACAGTAATAATCAAATAATTATTAAGAGAACTAACTTTTTTTTAGGAAATCAATATTGAAGTATATTGCTAAAAAAAATTTTTTTTTTATATCTATAAGACAATTAAAATCACACTAAGATACTGCTAAGAAAAGATTTTTTTTAAGTATTCTTTTAGATATTCTTTTTTTTTTTTAGATATTCTTAAAAAAGTTTTTGCAAAAAGATCAGTCGTTCACTTTTCCTTGGAAACTTTCTTATCGCGCCGAGTCTCGCGAGAGCGAAGGAGGCGCGCTTTTCCAATCGATTTCAAAATTCAACTTTCGACGAGAATAATCGCGATTAGACATGTGCGCGCACAAGATACGGCCCAAAGAATTCTATTCATCAATTGTACTGTTTCTTGTACAATATGTTTTAGCCTTCCTCGCGACCACCGCCCTTCCCCATCGCCCTCTTCATCACGCCAAACCCACAACCACTACCAACACCACCAACATCACTGTCACTACCGCTAATAATATTAGCGCAAGTACCGCCCCGGTAAAACGTTCCCCGGTAAAGTATTCGGTTCATATGACCGTCCATCACCCACCTACGTCGGGCGCTGCCGCTGCGGCCAGGCCGGAGCGCGGCGTTAAAGATTTAAGCCAAAGGTGCCGTGGTGCGAATGACGAGGCTCAGGCAAAACTGGCCCGCGGGCATCCAGCAGCTGCGGCTGCAGCCGCCGGCGATGATCCATCATCCAAATCATCCCTCGATACGCGATCCGCGTCAAATCGAGCCGCTACTACCGCCGCCCAAGCTAGTAAGTAGCATGTTGTGTCGTGGCTAAAAAGAGAGTCCCGGTTTATAGTCTCTCGCTCTTTTTTTTTTTTTAACGTTGTCCAGTCATTTAGCCAGTGTCTTTGCTTCGTGTGCTCGCTGTTCTGTATATCTATATTATTGATGTAACTTTGTGGTTAATGTGAGACATCTTTGTTTCTGTTTTTTTATGTTTACAAAGTATCCATTGAATTAACGTACTTGAATATCTCGAGAGCTAACTCGAGATATCGAGATCCGGTTTTTTTCAGGTATGGTTGTACGACACTTGATAAAAGGGACACTTGATAAAAGAATTTGACTTGAATGACGGGAGTGTGGTCACTTAATTTAAGCTCTGTTTCCGTCATTTGATCTCCATTGATGTTGGGTATGTGATCATTCAATTTATCATGAAAAGATCTACAAACATAGATGTTTAAAAAAAAATCAAGATTTAATTTTAAAAAAATAAAGTTGGTTTTTATTTCACTTTGAAATATTTCATACTTCTATCCATAAAGTCAAATTTTTTCATTAAAATATATCCTGAAATCGTACAATCCGAAAAAATCGGACTTTAACTTTCTCTTATTTAGTTTCGCAGATATTCATATGCGTTAATTAAAATACACACACACACACACACACACACACACACACACACACACACACACACTCTCTCTCTCTCTCTCTCTCTCTCTCTCTCTCTCTCACATTCAATAATCTATTTTCTCTCTTCTTCGTCTACCTTTTTTCTTTCTTTCATCTTCCATTTCTCTGTATATCCTAGCCACTGTCCATTGTCGCGTTGCATGATAGAGTGTTGATTTAACGAAGTTAGTATCTGGATTCTATTACATGACACTATTATTTATCCCAATTGTTTTGCACTCTATAAAGAGAGTATGATTACACAGAACACTCTTTTTTTTTGGATGAAAAATTAAGATAAGTTTCCAGATTCCAATCAGAATCAGAGAATGAATTTAGAGAACTTCTTTTTCTAGAGAGTTACAAAAAAGAAAAATAAAATCATTTGTTTCTCGTATAATTCTATATTGAATTTTGTGTTGTAAATTAAAAAAAAATTATTAAAATCGAATTTAAAGAATAATATAAAGATTAATAATAAATATTATATTTCTTTTGGATTCTCTAAATTATAGAATATTATAATGAATCTAATTATAAATAATCGACGCTCTATCGTATGCATTTCAAATTTATTGTGTTCCACAACAATTTATTCCTGTATAATGTATTCAAATATATATATGTACGCATTCTTTGTGAAAATTTTATTTGAATCGATAAAATAAACAACGCAAAACAAAAGTAATAAATCTAATCATTGAAAAATATGTATTAGTGCATTCGTGAAAAAAAGTTCATTATATAAATTCTTTAATTTTGTCAGACATCTTCTTGCGTTGAAATCTCCATATGTATGTATGTATGTCTTAACGATCATATAGAATTCATATAGAATTCTACTTAGATACTCTTTGAAATTTTTAAAAGCTGCTTTTCATTTGTGTAAAAAATGGTGAGTTATTCTCGCAGAGAAATTTCTGCTCCGAAATTTTTTGAAAACTAGACAATATCTTAGTGACTATGAACATACAATAAACGATTCGATTTTATTGCCTTATATGTATTACACTGAGATTTGTAGTGGAAAATTTTATCATACGAAATAATATATACATATATATTGTTATTTTTTGTATAGAACAAATTGCACTATCTACGAAGTTTTTTTCTACTGTGTACAACGAGAAAAAATTTTTCAATAATGGGAAGCTCTGGCTTTCTAAATATAAATGTATATGAGAAAAGACTACACTTTTATTGGAAAGATTACATATTTTTTGTGAGTTTATACATTTCACAGATTCTGTTATTTCCGAACGTATTCATTCCATTATTTATTTCCAACTCTGGCTACCTACTGTCATTTGATACACGATGTGTATTATAGGTGATCGCAGTGACTTGCAATCGTTAGTTTCCGTAAGTTTATTTTAAATCCTTAAAATATCAACTAGAAGCCTTTAGAGTTTTACTTCTCGAAGTAAAGACTAACTTCTTGTTTTTAATAATAAAACAACGGTATATATATATATATAT